ACAGACAGACAGACAGACACACACAGACACACAAACACGCGCACAAACACGTGCACACACACAAACACGCGCACACACACACACACACACACACACACACAGAGAAACAGACAGACAGACAGACAGAGTCAGACAGACACACACACACACACACACACAGAAACAGACAGACAGACACACAGAGTCAGACAGACACACACAGACACACAAACACGCGCACACACAGAAACAGACAGACAGACAGACAGAGTCAGACAGACACACACAAAGACAGACAGACAGACAGACACACACACACACACACACACAGAAACAGACAGACAGACACACAGAGTCAGACAGACACACACAGACACACAAACACGTGCACAGACACAAACACGCGCGCACACACACACACACACACACAGAAACAGACAGACAGGCCCACACAGACAGACAGACACACACAAAGACAGACAGACAGACAGACAAGACACACACACGCACACACTTTCTTTATTAACCCTCTAGTTAAAGAGAATTATATTCCAAGTGCAGCACACATGAAGTTGTAAACATGATGTAAATGTTAAACAAATCACCTGTTAAATATCTTTGCAGAAAAGATGCCTTAATGACACCTATAACTAGCACAAACTTGTCTTATACATATTATATGTTCAGAAATAATATGAGGAAAATGCTTTAAAATTCTCAAAAGTCAAGGTTATTCAAAAAATGACTGAAGGTATAACACCAGTAGACTATTATTGACTGTAAATGTTCTGTAAAAACAACAGCAGCTTTCAGCCTGTCACCATGATGCAAACATGAAATATCAGACATACAGTAGTTACAGGTTTTTTTTATTCGCTTGTGCTGCTTTTTCAGTTTTTTTCTTTGTAAACATGGAAGTGTTTGACTGTTGCACTTGCATCTCATGCATGAAACTGCAGTCTTAAAACGCTGCGCTCAAGTTAAAAGAAGCTAACTCCCATCTTCTAGCATGTTCTTCATCTTCCACTGCCTGCGTCGCATCTTTGTCAACACAAAAGCGCATTCAGTGTGAATAGCACCTAGCCATATGAGCGCGTCACACATGAGCGGTTAATCACGTGCGCCGACACGCAGTTGGATAATTATTTTCTCTTTACAGTTATCATTGTCAAAATGTCTAATTCTAACGTTTGGAAATATTTCTATTCAAAATCAAGATCCCTCAATTTATAAAAAAAATTTAATCGTGGCAATACATTCAATTAGAATTAATAAAACCAATCTGAAAAACCGCCCAGCCCTAGCTAGAGGACAACTAAAAATCAGACGACAAGGTGTTAAATCAGTGCTGTCATGATACCTGATTTACAGTAGTCCTCACCAATTTTACAAACTTCAACAAATTGTTACATGTTCCCTTGTTTTGTGTGTTATTGATGTATTGTTCCTGTGTTCTGTCTTCCTCTGTTTAGTTCCTGTTGCCTTTGTCTCCTTAGTAACCTTCATTTGTCCCTATCTATCTATCTATCTATCTATCTATCTATGATCTACCTGTCT